CTGTCGGCAGCGCTTTCTTCCTCTCCAGATGAGGTGGTGGCATTGGCCTCTCCCTCGCAACTGGATGATCATAGGCAGTATCGGGACCTATTGTGGAGGATCACAAACTCTCCAGAACCCACTTGAAAAGGTTCAAGATCTTACTTGTAAACTCCTGGATAGTCTCCAGACTGCAGCTCCTTCCGAATTGTCACTCCCTACAGATGAGGCCTGATTGGAGCCCACTAAGATATGTTGGCACATACCAGCTACCTGTGCCTCAACCCCATTTTGTTCTTTCCAAGGGGACGGGATATTTGTTTTCCTACCCTACCCAAGCTCCAGGCAGTCAGGGAGCAAACAGGATGCACTAGCATAGGTCCACCCCTTTGGACAAAGATGCAAGGAGACTGGATCTCTTTGGCAAAAGAATTGTTCATCAGGCAGCTTACTGTTCTGCATAGCAAATGTTCAGACATTAATGTCCAAATAAAATATTAATTACAATAAACTGTCAGAGTTAGCTTGCTAATAAGCTAACACAGAAATGTAGGCCCCAATTCTAGGCCATCCTGGACAAAGGGAGATTAGTTGCCAGATCATCTCTCTGGGCATCACCCGATGCAGTGGACTTGGCTTTCTGCCCAATAGTCACCAGTGGTTGAGGCAAGCTTCTTGGTTGCAGTTCTCAGAATTCCCAAGGCGATCCAAGGAACAGTAGAGGATCTCCCCTTCAAGGGTAACAACCTATTTAGTGAGAAGACAGATGAGTAGCTTCACTCCCTCAGGGACTCATGCCATCCTTTGCTCTTTGAGGATATATATCCCGGCACTCCATAGGAAATGTTGCGGGCTGTCTTCTCATCGGTACCACCCAGCCCTATAGCCTGTGAGCCCCCTAGGAAGCACTAGAGGATATAGCAGAACAGAAGCTACAACCACTGCCTTCCCCTCTTCAGTCTCACCTGCCTCCCAGGAAGGCAGTTACCACTACCCCCTTAGATGGCTGCCTGACACACTTCTCCTAATGTGGCAGCATATCGCATTGGACAGATTACTGTCAGATGTTATATCAACTGGCTACCTGATAGAATTCCTTGCTTCCCCTTCTCCAAACCTCCCTCCCCATCTCTCTTCAAGGACACCCTCTCATGAGAGCATTCTCAGACAAGAAGTGGACTCCCTAATCCAGTTAGGGGCAGGAGAGCCTGTACCACCCCCACATGGGGGAAGAGCTTTTATTCCAAAGATTTCCTCATCCCTAAAAAGGGGGGCTGGAGAGCCATCCTGGACCTTGCAGCTAAATTCTTCGTTCATCGTTCAAAATTTAGGATGACTACACTGGCCACTGTAATCCCCTCCCTGAGCAAAGGCATTTGGTATGTGCCTCTTGATTTGAAGGATGCTTATATTCATGTAGACCTTCACCCCGCACACAGGAACTTGCTGTGCTTTAGTGGGCTTAGAGCACTTTCAACAGCGTGCCCATTCAGCCTCTTGATAGCCCTAAGGGTTTTTATGAAGGTACTGTCCATGGTAGCAGTGGATATGTGCTGACAAAGCAGCCTAATATTTCCCTACCGAAGTGATTGGCTGCTCATGGGACAGTCATATGAGAAAGCACAAGTGCCAGTTGCCTCCTTACTCAGCCTCTTTCCTTCCTTGGGATTTCAGGTAAATCTAGAAAAGTCTCCTTTAATCCCTGCACAAGTTATAGAATTTGTAAGAGCAAACCTGAATGTCCAAGCAGCCAAAGCTTGCTTACCTTGGGACAGAGGCCCAACTTTGGCTCAGCCCCCAGATGACAGTCCAATTCTACCTAGTCCTGGTATGCTATATGGCCTCATGCACCTACATGACCCCCTTTGCAAGGCTTCACTTATGGTGTCATCAGGCATGGTTGCAGACAGTCCACACTTCGAGCAGGGTCTCCCTGGACAAATGAGTCTTGCTTCCGCAGAGCATCTGGCTATCACTCACCTGATCGGAAATGAAGGGCAGTGTCTGGGTAGGGGTTCACTTTGTTCTAACATCACTCATTATAGATGCCTCCCTGATGAGATAGGGAACACACACAGATGACCAAACTGATCAGGGTCTCCAAACTCTGCGATAGTCCCGATTACATATCAGTCTTCTCAAGCTTCAGGCAATGCATAAAGTGTGCAAGATATTCCTACCCTTCATATGGTCCATGTGTGTCCAGATCAGGTGGAACAACATGACTGTTTTTATATAAAAAAAAAAGGGGAGTGAATTCTGCCCCACTCTGCCAGGAGGCAATCAACTCTGGAACTGTTGCATCACGAGTGGGAGCTGCACTCTTCAGGAGTGTTGTATAATTTTCAGCAGTAGGGATTCCCATCCTGGGACCTCTTTGCAACCCAAAGAAATACTTATGCAGCCTATTGCTCTCAAGCTGCCCAGGGGCACAATTCCAGAGGGGATGCCTTCCTAGTACAGTGGTTGGACTCAGGAAAATCAGGCAGGAAAAGGCAACAGTAATCTTGGTGGTGGCCAAGCCAGTTCTAGTTCACCACTGTCCTACAGATGACCTCTTGCCCATACATTCACCTAGTGCCTCAGAACAGAAACATCCATCCCAACCCAGCCTCTGTCCATCTGGTAGTCTGGTTTTTGTACGTACAACAAATTTTTAGAGAGCATGTTCACAAGTACAGTCCATCCTCCGTGACAGCAGGAAACCCTCAACAAGGAAGGGCTATGCCACCACGTGGAATGATTTTTCCATTTGGTATCAGCAGCCTCACTTATCTCCTGTGAGGAGTCTGCGGTGCCTCTTATCCTGGTGTATCTTCTCTCCTTGAAGGCATTGGCTGTGTCCATTAGTCCATTACTTAGCAGCTATTAATGCCTTTCCTGCTTCAGTGGACTACTGCTTGGTTTTCATCATCCCACAACTGTGAAATTCCTGAAAGACATTAGAACATTCTCCCCAGTTTTAAAACCTAGTGCTGTTGGCACATATTGAACCTTTAGTTTGAACCCCTTCTCAGAGATTTGCAGGGCAGCATCTTGGGGCTCCATTCACACTTTTAGTAAGCATTTTTGTCCTAGTGCAAGCTTCTTCCAAGGATGCTTCCTTTGTTTCAGCATTCCCGCAATTGTGGTGTGGGAAATTTTCCTCGAACCCTCCTCTGTGAGCACTGTTTGGGAGTTCACCCACAGTGCCGGCCCAGCATGTGAAGGAAGGAAGGTTACTGCTCTTATTGTAATTGTAGTTCTTCAAGATGTGTGGTCCCTGTGGGTATTCACATCCCATCCTCCTTTTCCCTCTGCTCAGATTCTCACTTGATTCATGCTAGAGTAGGAACTGGAGAGGCAGTTGGTCTGCACCACCCTTTATACCCTCGGTTCAGAGCTTGAGGTGTAGGGCATAGGTGCGGGCCAACTAAATACTCTTCCGGTCTTAAATGCATAGAGCGTATGCCCGTGTACAGTGTGTCCCATGGGGACCACACATCTTGAAGATCTCCAGTTACTATAAGGTAAGTGATCTTCCTTTTCTGACAGTCTAGCCTTCTTAGAGGTGAGATCATCAACTTCTGTATACTTGAGTCATAGAAAATTGGATATGATGCAAACATCCACCTTGAGTTTCATGCTTAAAATAGATGCATTGGATTTTTGCCTGCAGATGCTGACAACTCCCTTTTTTGGGAGACTAACTACGTCAATCATGGCTAAAGCTATGATTATCAAAATAACATGAGCTGGAAAAAAGGATTAATAATCTCAGAATTTGTGGCAGTTTCCCAAAGAGTCAGAAGCAGGTAAATCTCTGCGTTTACATGGTTTTCTGAATTAAGGGACAGCCAAGGATTATTTCAGTTTTGCAGAGGCTTACTGCTTATGCGACACTTTTTTGTACTATCCTTTATTGTAGAAATCTAAAAACAGCAGGGATTTCTCTACCCTTGAAGCTACAGGGTATTAAAGTAGAATTTTCCTGGATTACAAACTAGCGTTACTGTAAAGTTACGCTGTTAAAAAGATAATGCTGCAGAGAAAAAGGTACTGCAGAAGGTGAACCTTAAATCAGTTGTTAAATCCAGCTTGTGTCCCTAGAATGGGTTAATACCAATCTTTAATATCTACAAGAGGCAATCTGGTTTTCAGAAAATGGTAAAAAAGGAGTAGACTCTGATTGGGGGAGGGAAGACTAATGGTTCGGATAGCTTTGACATCTTGTGTGTGCTCCTAAAACACTGTTCCAAAATGTCTGGATTCATAATGCTTTTTCCTGTCTTTCTTGTCTGTCTGAATGTAGCATAGATTGTGCTGTTGCTGCACACTTCCCTTTGTAAATGCTAAGAGAAAAATACTGGCATTCTAGTTAAGGCTATGTTGTATACGAAAATTTGACTGAACCATATTGACATGGTTTTCTGCGGTACTGGGCACCCACATCCTATTACAGAACTTGCATTGTAGTACCCCTGAAAATAGGTCTGTTTGACCTGTAGTTCCCATCAGGACTCATTTCCTAAAGTAGAGCAGTGGTCACATAGTCTTTCTGGAGATGGAAGCTGTTGACAGATTTACTTGGAAGAAGTTTTTAGGGTCAGTGTTTACATGCCATTGGAATAAATAGAGCAACTTACTCTGCTAGCTGCAGATGACTTTTCTTAGTTTGTGTGGGCCATAGACTGTTTAACATGAAGCTTGTTTTCTCCTGCATAGGAACCGACTGCTCTGTCAGCCTAGTACTGATGGGCTTTCTTCCTTAATTCCGCACACTGGAGGTACAGGAGATCCCTCTTGATTTTATTTCTTGATCAAGTTGCTTGTTAGCTCCCCTACCTGCATGGTTTACTGAAAGTTTTGATATCAAATATAAAACATAAAGCATTTAACTTCATGCAAAGTGACTCGTGTTCATGAGAACATCCCTGTTTGATACTGGCATTATGTATAGTCAGTGGCTCAGATTTCAAGATTAACTGATGCATTTTACAGTGGAAACTTACAGCCTTCATTAATATACTGTTTTTTAATAGGCAGCATCCCCACAGCAGAGGGAGATGATGGAGCAGGCAGCTGCACAGTTAGCTCAGGATAACTGTGAATTAGCATGTTGCTTCATTCAGAAGACAGCTGTGGAAAAGGCAGGCCCTGAAATGGACAAGAGGCTGGCAACTGTAAGTATAGAAGTGTCTATCCCTAGCCTCCCTCTGTCAGAGGGTGGAGATGGATGGCAGGAGAGAGCTCACTTGATCATTGCCTGTTAGGTTCACTCCCTCAGGGGCACCTGGCATTGGCCACTGTCGGCAGACAGGATACTGGGCTAGATGGACCTTTGGTCTGACCCGGTACGGCCCTTCTTATGTTCTTAGCACAGGGGTAGGCAACCTATGGCACGTGTGCCGAAGGCGGCACGTGAGTTGACTTTCAGTGGCAGTCACACTGCCCGGGTCCTGGCCACTGGTCTGGGGGGCTCTGCATTTTAATGTAATTTTAAATGAAGCTTCTTAAACATTTTAAAACCCTTATTTACTTTACATACAACAATAGTTTAGTTCTATATTATAGACTTAGAAAGAGACCTTCTAAAAACGTTAAAATGTATTACTGGCATACGAAACCTTAAATTAGAGTGAATAACTGTAGACTCGGCACACCACTTCTGAAAGGTTGCCGACCCCTGTTCTAGAGGCTTCACATAAACAGTACCTAGCAACAACTTCTCTCTATTATTGCTTTTGCAGGAATTTGAGCTCAGAAAGCATGCAAGGCAAGAGGGTCGTCGGTACTGTGATCCTGTTGTATTAACTTACCAGGCTGAACGGATGCCAGAGCAGATCAGATTGAAGGTGAGAACAGACTTGCTGAATTTTAATTTTTGGTGATGTTTTCTCCCTCTCTTCCTAATCTTAAAACTGCAGGAGGAGGTGGCAACACTTTGCAGATGAGTATTTCTTTGCCTTGGTCTCATGGCTAATAATCCAGCTGCTTAGTATCTGAAACATATACAACTTTGCTTGTGAAATAAACTATTCAATTCTCCTCTTCCCTTCCTCTCAACTCTGAGGATATTGTATGTTCCTTCTAGAGCTTGTCTACAGTACTCCTTCAGTGGTGGTGGAGGAGGGTCACTAGAGTGTCTTCCATCTTTCTAATCTATTTTTGCTTCTCATCACCTTCTAAGGTGACATCTGCTTCACTAAAGCTGCAGACAATTTTCAGTGGCAGAAAGAAATCGATAGGCTGCATACTTAAGTGCAGCAGCATAGATGGGGATTTTCCTGCTTTGCAGTTAAGTAGGGTGTGGGGAATATAGGATTCCCGCCAACCCTGCACTGAACTTATACCCACATGTGTACAGCTTTGAGTTTATGCTCTATAGGTCAGTGGCTCTCAACCTTCCAGACTACTGTAGCCCTTTCAGGAGTCTGATTTGTCTTGCATACCCCAAGTTTCACCTCAGTTAAAAACTACTTGTTCACAAAATCAGACATAAAAATAGTGGCACAGCACACTAGCTGAAAAATTGCTTATTCTCATTTTTACCATACAATTATAAATCAATTGGAATAGAAATATTGTACTTATTTCAGTATAAAGAGCAGTATAAAATTTTAGTTTGTACTGATTTCACTAGTCCTTTATGTAGCCTGTTGTAAATCTAGGCAAATACCTAGATGAGTTGATGTACCCCCCCAGAAGACTTGTGTACCCCCAGGGGTATGCATACTTTTGGTTGAGAACTATTGCTATAGGTCACTTATTAGAACTAGTTGCACAACTTGCCCTTTAGTTTTTTCTTCAGTGTCAGTGCCAAATAAAGGACGTGCCACTTTTTTTCATTATAAAGGTTGGTGGTGTGGACCCAAAACAGCTGGCTGTTTATGAAGAGTTTGCACGCAATGTCCCCGGCTTCTTGCCTACCAATGATTTAACCCAGCCCACAGGATTCTTGGCTCAGCCTATGAAGGTACAGATTTCTGTAACACTGTGTGTTGGCTTGAAAATATCAAAGCCATTTTGATGAACCTTGCAGAGTTTCACATAGAATACCAGTGGGTAATCAGGCTTTAATGGCACTCAGAAAACTCTTTTTTTTGAGGGATGTCGGTGGCCTCTACAGCCAGATTGAAGGAAACTTAACACCATCCTCACATCATGTATATTTTTGTGTTGAATTCTGAAGTGCTACTTACTCATGGATCTGAGAGGACTAGATATGTAACTTTTGAGAATGAAATGGATAACAATGCTGGTATTTCTGGGAGCTTGTTAATGGACCAACTTGTAACTAAAGTGGGATATTTGGATGGCCTCTGCCAGTTACACAACTTAGTATGCTACCAATATCTGACTGTACATTCAAGTAAAATATCACTAATCAAGCATTGGCATTTGAGTTAAGTCTTCTTTACGATGCATCTTTCTGGTGCCAGAGGTTCTACTGCAATCAAAAGATTAACTGGTATTTAATGAATTCTACATACTTGTTTTACTCTTTAACACCCCTCCCCCCACACACAATAATTTATAATTAATCCTTGCCAAGTCTTACTAAACACATACACTTTTTTTAAAACAGCAAGCTTGGGCTACAGATGATGTAGCACAGATCTATGATAAATGTATGACAGAACTGGAACAACACCTACAATCCATACCACATACCCTGGCCATGAACCCACAAGCTCAAGCCTTACGCAGCCTGTTGGAGGCTGTAGTAGTGGCTCGTAACTCCCGTGATGCCATAGCCGCGCTTGGACTGCTCCAGAAGGTTAGTGTCAAGTTCTGTGTCAGCTCATATGCAGTTCAGTTTGCTTTTACTACTCCTTTTGCCAGTAGATTGCCTATTAGCTGGCAGATGCATAGTTGGAATTGAACAAATATTGTGGGGAACTACTCAGTGAATTGTATTTAAGGACCACTACTGCCTTTTTCAGATGTTAAGAAATGAAAGAAGCAAAAACAGATTACACACAAGATGCAGACACTTGGCATCATGCACTCTAGGATGCCAAACTTAGGCAAGTCACCAAGGGGAACAAATTCCAACACTATAGAGGTTCCTCACTGAGACCCTGTAGCTGGGAGAATTAAGTCTGTGGAACATAGTTCAGATCAACTGGGATGCTCTTGCATGTAAAGTGCAAGAGCCAGTCTCTTAATGTGCTTCCAGATCAACTTGGATTCCTTTAAATAGGCTCATCAGTACTTTTGAGTTGCACCTGGAAGTAGACAGGAATAGCGCTGAGCACAGGGGCTGTTCTGCAATAATTGAAACATCAAGGGTAACATGAAGTAGAGCATATTACAATACGCTTAACCTAGGGTCTGAGCATGGTATGTATGGCTTTATAGTGATGAGTGTCTAGAGATGACAAATGCAGAAGAATCTTGCAAGCTCTGTGAGGAAACTAGTATTAAGACACTCAAGTGCCACTGCTCTCTTACAATACAGGAACAATGATAGAGCCAAAAGTGCTAAAAGCTGAAAACCAGTCGTGAAAATAGTTTTACATCCTCAGTAGACGGTGTGGACACCCTCTACTGGTTTTGTCTTGACTAGGTCTTGGCAGGAGCCTAGACTGCACCTTGATCAGCTAAATTGATCTATAAGCTGATTGCCCTCCTAGTGTAATGCAGGGTAAGTTCTTCTTTTAGTCATGTGTTAAGCCTCACCTGAACTGGCCACTTCTACTAATGTAGATTGTCTGAATGCTTACTTCTATCAACAGGGGTATCTTCTCACCCAGTTTATTTTCATCCACGTTCTTATCTGAGCCAGACATAGAATTAGACTCTAGAACCTGAGTTTGATGAAAAGACATTGGCTTATTGATGTTGCAGCCCAAAGAATTGCACATTTTTTCTTGCTGTTTAGTGTTGATATAAAATCACTAAGATGTGGTAGAGACCTGCAGAATTCTTTGTTAAAACCTTTGTGGAGCGCGAGCAGTTACCTAGATGCCCTCTCTTGTAAACTTATACAAGACCTTTCTGGATATTATGGCATTATGAGCTGAAATCACAGGTTTTTGGATAATATTGCAGCTGCCACATTTTAAGGTTAATAACTGCTTTTGGAGAAAAGTACTTAAAGTTCATTGATTTTTCAGGAGGCAGTAGTGGAGGACTTGGTTTTCCATATGCGCTGACCAGCTGCTTCTCTTCTAGGCTGTTGAGGGCTTACTGGATGCCACCAGTGGTGCAGATGCTGACCTCCTGCTCCGCTACCGTGAGTGTCACCTACTTGTACTGAAAGCTCTGCAGGATGGCCGTGCCTATGGGTCTCCATGGTGTAACAAGCAGATCACCAGGTCAGTAATGGGAGGAAGAGAATGCTTGTTTGAATACCTCATACCTTGTCCTCTAGTCTTGAGTTACCATTTGTGATTCCAGAACACTTGTGTGTAAAATGGTATAACTGTACAAAAGACTAACTCCTACATAGTTTTTCACTTCCAATTTGTCTTGTATATGATGAACTAAAACTAGGTGACTAAGTATTGCTCCTTTGCCCTAGAGTTTGATAGAAAGCTACTTTTAATAAAAGGTTTAAACATACCTCAGGCGTGACAGTTTTGTCACTTTTTAAATAGAGCATCCAGTTTGAATAAGTCTCTCCTGCATGTTGTGTTGATTCTACTAGAGACTGATTCCAAGAGTGCTTGGTAGGTAGACGTGCCACTTTATATGCTTTGGAAATAGAGCTTCATCGATTCAGTGTAAAAAGCCTTTAAAAAGGACTGACCAGAGCTAAGATTTGGTGAAGCTTTAGACTGCTCTGGGGTGCAGCTGACTATTCTTAAGATCAAACACTGACTTGGTGAACCCTGTAGAGGATATCTGTTAGAGCTGAACAATAAATCAATGTCTCAAGTCTATAGCCTTCTTGAGGCATCACATTTTTCTGACAAGTCCAGCTAGGCTAAACAAGCATGTATAAAAAGGTGTCTAATTTTTCTAGATGCTTGATTGAATGCCGGGATGAGTATAAGTACAATGTAGAAGCTGTGGAGCTGCTAATCCGCAATCACCTTGTTACCATGCAGCAGTACGATCTTCACTTGGCACAGGTGAGAGTTTACCTTTTGAATATACTTCATGTAATCAGTTCATTAAAGGGTTTATACTTCATATTCTTGACTACATTTTCCATCTTGGCAGTCAATGGAGAATGGCTTGAACTACATGGCAGTGGCATTTGCCATGCAGTTGGTGAGGATCTTGTTGGTGGATGAGAGGAGTGTAGCCCACGTAACAGAGGCAGATCTATTCCACACCATTGAGACTCTGATGAGGATTAATGCTCACTCCAGAGGGAATGCTCCAGAAGGGTGAGACTGAAATACTGGTCAATGAACTTCTCTAAGGTGCTCAATAGTGATCTGATTTAAAATGGCTTAAAACTGTATTCTTTTTGCATATTCTGACTTAAATTTCCTGTCAGACACATTTCTGCACTAGATTCATCTAGTTCTGTCTTGATATCAATGATGTAGTTCTCCCCCACCTGAAACTCTCTTCTATATTTAAAACTTGCACATATACCTGTGTGCACTTTGGAAAAGCAACTGCAATAAGGCTTTCTTTGGGGTAGAAAAAGCTCTGCTATGCACTATAGTCCAACACCAGGATATGAGAAAGATTCTCTTAGTATCTCTCTCAGCCATTTTAGGTTTGTCTAGATTGGACAGAGACTGGTAGAGAATAAACCTGTATTAGCTAACATGTGGTTTCTAACCCAACTTAACTTTTTTTTATCCTTAACAACCTTTCTGTTGCTGCTGCCAAGTATCTCTTGACTTGCTCTGATGGTCTGAGATCTTACATAAGGAACACTTTCAGTGCAGTCTACTCTACGATCACAGATCTGGCTACTAGACAGTGGCATCTGTCACTGGTCCCTCTCCTCCTAAAGGCCCCACTAAACCATAGGAAGTGACGCTTTCATCCTGTGATGGGAAGGATGGCTCTGCCAAAACACTTCGTTCAGGGAGTAGGGCTGGGCTTCAAAATTTGACTTTCCCTATGAATGAGTTGGTAATTTCAACGGTATAGGGAAGCTCCTTCCAGAGCATTGTATTACCTTACATTAGTCTCATTGTGCTATATGTATCAGAAGGGCAGTTGCTAAGTGGCTTGAAATAGGCTTTTAATTTATTCTCAGTAGCTTCACATTTACGCACTGTTCCCAAAAATAAAAATGTATAGATGAATTCTTAATTTGGGTCTGTTTCACTAGGTTACCCCAGTTGATGGAAGTGGTCCGATCCAACTATGAAGCAATGATTGACCGTGCTCATGGAGGCCCTAACTTCATGATGCATTCTGGGATCTCCCAAGCCTCTGAGTATGATGATCCACCAGGCCTGAGGGAGAAGGCAGAGTATCTACTGAGGGAATGGGTGAATCTCTACCATTCAGCTGCAGCTGGCCGTGACAGTACCAAAGCTTTCTCTGCGTTTGTTGGACAGGTAGAGCTTTTGGAAAGAAAGGTGCTTTTTATTCGACATAAGTAGGGTGTGATGCCCTCAATGTTAAAGCACAGTGTTATGTATCAGTGTTAAACATCCTTTTGAAGTTTTCATGAGTATGACCGCTATCAAAATTCTGTCTAGCTTATGTGCTACGGCATATGTTTTTCCTTTTCACTGATGAAAGAGACTTTAGTGGAAAATCTCTCCTCCCTTCAGTGAGTGCTGTTCCAATTCAGTTACTACAGCAACAAATTGTCAGTGCAGGTTGTGATTCTATTGGGTAAATCTAGTAGCAGGAGAGCTTCTAATGAGACAGATCTTGGTAATAGCTCTGACAGCTCTGTCAAACGAAATTTGGCTTAACATTGCTTCTCCCCTACACTTAGCAGAAACTGTGTGGCAAAGTCAGTCTAGAGAAACCAATGTCTGGTGGGTGGAAGTGCATCTGATTGCTTTGTCCTACCTGAACAGGAAATGCCTTCAATTTTTATCCATTTGTTTTTGGAGGAAACTGTTAAACTGGATGGGTTAAAATGGTTTCTAAACTTGATGCCATTCCTCTTGCTTCTACTTTGACATACATGACTACAGGGTTGCCTGAAGAGTTGGAACTCCACCCGCTTGGGGGAGGGGAGGAAGTAGATGGGGATTGCAGTGAAGAGAAGTGAGATTTAAGTAGGCCAGTGTTTCTACTGACTTTCACTCTTTGGATATGGACAAAAATGCAACCGTTTCACATATGTTGTAAACTGGCAGCAAGACTTATGCTAAAATAGAATTTGCAGTTACAGCTGCACTTGCTACAAAGTCAATTTAGCCATGGCTGCAAGGAGAAGTTCCCAATTTACTCTGTAGATTGACTGCAGATGTCACTTCCAACTTCAAAACTAAGCAGTGAGAACCTAGATATTCCACAGAAGACTGACCAGCCACAAAGCAACAGCTATATGAAACCTAAACTGGAGTTCAGGTGTCTCACTGAGAGGCCAGGGCAAGGGGAATGGAGTCCAGCTAAGGGGTATTGCTTTCTTTATCCATCTGTTTGGGTCAGCTCTAACTAGAAGCCCCCACACCCTTTCTTAGTATGAGTAATCTAATCTAGCTTGTAATCTCTTCACTTGAGGCTGACAAGCATTGCTGGAGTTGCGGCTCTCAAACTTCCTGTACTCTCTTCAGTCTGGCTTCAGGCCAGGTCATGGCACAGATGTCCCTAGTTTAAATAGTCAATGTTTTCCTTGTGATGGATGGGAACTAAATTGCTACTCACTATCTGATCAGCTGCTTTGGCTACTGATAGCTGTGAAGTATTGCTGACATGGCTATGAACTCTGACAGACATAAAAGGATCGCTTATGTGGCTCCTTTTTTGTATGATGGGACCAAGAAACTAGTGTTGTGCTTTGCTCTTTTTCTCTGAATGCTTTTATGTGGCATATAGAGAGGTACCTACTTTTCATGGCTTGTGTGGGGCTATTGAAAATGCAGCTCAGTCACATAACTATGTTCACTTTGTCAGCTCTACGTCTCCTTTTTATAGGCTCCAGGTGGAGGGGCCTCTTTGCTTCCCTGGTTTCTATGAGAGATTGGGGGCTGTATGAGCACTAGGAGGCTGAAACTGTCAGGTAGCTCCTGGCAGGCCCTTGGCTGTAAGATTCTATTCTCTGTGCTGATCTAACGCAACAAGAATTTTTAATCTTCTCTTTCCTTGAGGTGGTAGTGCAGTATGGATAAAAACAAATCTTGCACAACCTGGGCTACTCCATACACCCTCTATGGAAGGGACTTTACTACCCTACCTGCAGCCTAGAAGATCCCCCCCCTTTCCTGTGCCAAAACATGTTTGTTTGAGTGAGGCAGATAACCGTCTGTAAAAACACTCTAGCCCATACAAGAGAGCATCTACGTAGTTTATGCTAACGTCTCACTTTCTGTCTGGCTCTAAATGCTATATGGTGATGCTCTTTATAAAGATAGATATTGTATATGTTACAACTTGCACCATATTGATTTTTGTTTTTGTTTAACTTGTGCTGCCTTGCCATCACATTCGGTCTTTACAGAGTAACTTATGTTGTGTACGCTCTTTCTGCCTCTTGGCATGTAACAGACCTTCATGGGTCTTGTACAGAACTCTTTGTAGCATGTTTCTCTACCTCCACTCTGCATGAGCTATTTCAGTCCCACTTCTGCCCCCTCAATGAACAATAAGAAAATGGCTTTGGTGAAATTTTGGGCTACTTTACACTCTGAACAAATTTCATTAGGGCTGCTATATATTTCATAAGCCTTTATTTGGAAAGGCTTGAAATAACTGAAATGCTTTGCTGTAGTCTTGACTTTTTCCTTGTGAAGTTACATGAGACTCTTTTAAAAAAAAAAAAAAGCGCTCCGGTAACAATTGGACAAGGGGATAGGGCTCAAAACTGTCTGTTGGCTGCTTTCATTAAATACTATCACCTCTTTCCCCAACGCTGCTTTAAATCAAGGAGCACGTGTCTTACAACAAAGCAGGCATGTACCTGCACTTTTCAAAAGCCACTTCATAAGTTCTAGAAGCTTCCCCTGAAAGTTTGACATGGCTACTCATGCCAGTTTCACTGCAGTAGAATTTCTGCTGCTTTTAAGTACACGGACAGCATAGCTGTTGTAACTTCCAAAAAGGTGGTTTGTCCAAGAACTGCAAAGTTGGTGTCCACTACTAATCTGAATTACTAGCTTATTCCTGTTTAACCTTGTACTTTGGTAACAAACTCAAAAGATATTTTTATCTAGAGATACAGGCACTGGCCATTGAAACTATGCAGAGTCTAGCGTTCCTTTTGAATGTTATGTTCCTATGAAAAACTTGTTCTTAACAGTGAAGTGCAGTATCCAACTATGAGTTAACAAGTAGATTTGTAGCACTATAGTCCAACAAGGCATCAGGCAAACTTTACCACCCCCAATAACTCTGATGCAATCTGTGGGCTCCTAAAAGTGGGGCAACTTGAACGCTTGCCTCTACTTCTCCTCCTTCCAAGGCTTAAGCCACCAGTAGCAGAGGAAGGATACTGCTGCACTGATATTGAACCACACTTCATTAGCTCTGATGGTTGAAAGGAGGATCACATGATATTTTTCTCCTTTAGAAGCAGGTGCCATTGATAAAGTACTTTTATGTAGGAGCACAGCTTTAACTCTCTAGCTGTTCCCATTTGTTTTAGAAATCTCTGTTTTGGGGAGTAAGTGGAGGAGGTAATCTCATAGCTACCTCACTGTAAAAAGAAAGGCAGTAGTTACATCCATGTTGCATGGCAGATGAATTATCATAAAACTGTTACTTGTTTGCTTCAGTATAACAGTGAAGTGTTTTTTTTTTTAAATTACCATATTCTGTAGTTCTGAGGGTTTTTCTTGTCCTCATAATAGATGCACCAGCAAGGAATCCTGAAAACGGATGACCTGATAACTCGGTTCTTTCGTCTTTGCACTGAAATGTGTGTTGAAATCAGCTATCGTGCTCAGGCCGAGCAGCAGCACAATCCAGCCGCCAATCCCACCATGATCAGAGCCAAATGCTACCACAACCTGGATGCCTTTGTGCGGCTTATTGCACTGCTAGTGAAGCACTCTGGGGAGGCAACCAACACGGTCACAAAGATTAACCTACTGAACAAGGTTGGAAATCCTCCCTCTTCCAAGCAGTACTTGACATTCCTAGATTACATCACCTGATGTATTTCTGTTTATGAGCTAAAACATGGGCCTTAACTTGGGGTGGGGCAGTCCGTCTGAGATGGGACCTAAAACTTTCAGATGACTCTTAAAATGGGGTATAGGCAGGGCTGCAGGCTAAGCTAGGTAGCTTTCTCTGTGATGTGGAACCAGGGTATCGAACTTCCTCCTTTGTTGCTGAAAAGGCCAATGCAGTCAGATTTAAAAAATACAAAAACAGCTTAAGGCTGAAACCCCCAATAAACACCATTGGCTGGGTGGGAACTCAGATCTGTTTGACGCTGAGCTGGACGCTTAATGGACAATCAATATGGTGCATTCCGGTTACCAAAATGGCTTTCAGCTCTTCGTTAGTACTCAGAATGCAGGCTTCGATTAGTGAAATGGTTTCTACAACTGACAGGTCAAAACCAGTGAAGCTTGTTGGTTCATTTCTTTAGGTGCTTGGTATAGTGGTGGGAGTTCTGCTCCAGGACCATGATGTTCGGCAGAGTGAGTTTCAGCAGCTTCCTTACCACCGCATTTTCATCATGTTGCTGTTAGAATTAAATGCTCCTGAACATGTGCTGGAGACCATCAACTTCCAGACCCTTACAGCCTTCTGGTACGTACTTCTGAATGAATGGCGGTTGGCGCGAACTTACCCTTTCTAATAGGGTGAGGACTTGGATTTAACAGTAACTTGACAGCTCCATAGTGGCAGCTCTGATCATTTTTGTAACCATAGTATCGTGTATTGTCTAATTCATTATTCATGGAGGTTATTAGTAAAATGTAGATGCTAATGTCTCTTACTATGTACGTTCTCTCACATTTGTGAAAACCAGTGTTACCGCTGTGCTCTTAATCAGCTTTAACTTTTTTCTTTCAGTAACACATTTCACATCCTGAGGCCTACGAAAGCTCCGGGTTTTGTTTATGCCTGGCTGGAACTGATTTCCCATCGGATATTTATTGCGAGAATGCTGGCGCATACACCACAGCAGAAGGTGTGGCTGCAGTTTCTTCTATACATTATAAAACTCTTACTGAGAAGGGTGCCTAAGTGATTTGATGCTGTTTCACATCTTACTTTTTTTTGACGTGCATTAGTAGCATGTCTTCACATGTAGTTTTCTGTATTCACAGTAACTAACAACTGTATGGAGGGGTGACCCTGTTTCAATAAACTGTCAAGCTTTGGGTAACTGGGGAATTTTGTAAATAAGGGTTTCCACTGTAAACCAAATCATCAAATTTACCCATAAGCTTTCTGTCACTGTCAGAGCTTGTACAGTTCATTGCTTTCCATGTCAGTTAGGTGGGGAGGGATAGCTCAGTGGTTTGAGCATTGACCTGCTGAACCTGGGGTTGGGAGTTCAATCCTTGAGGCGGCCATTTAGGGATCTGGGGCAAAAATCTGTTTGGGGATTGGGCCTGCTTCAAGCAGGGGGTGGGACTAGATGACCTCCTGAGGTCCCTTCTAACCCTGAGATTCTATAGAGGAAGACTCTTTTAAATACACATTCCAGGTAACCCTGAGACCCTCAGAAAACTGGAGCTGTACTGTAGTCATTGACTAGTCCTAGTGCAAATAATCTTTTCAAACTTATATAGGGATAAGTCTAAACATGCTGTGTCTCTATTTTACTCTGCTTTTGACCAAACTGTAATAATCGAGGTTTAATTGCTTTTGTTTATACATTACTTATGTGATGGTTTTCTCTTGGCAGGGGTGGCCTATGTATGCCCAGCTGCTAATTGATCTCTTCAAGTACTTGGCTCCTTTCCTTAGAAATGTGGAACTCACTAAACCTATGCAAATTCTCTACAAGGTAAACCCTACTGGTTGATGCAGGTATTTTCCAGGAAAGTACTGTGAAGATGGGTTAGAGTGCAGTGGAAAGTAACTTGTTTTTGTTAGCTGAATATAAACATTTAACTTTTTTTATTTAAATCCTCTATCTTTTGTGAGTTAGAGGTTAATTTAAGTACAGTTTAGGTATTGACACTGGTCAGGAGATCAGTACTTGCACTATTAATCACAGGTAACTGATCAGAGTTTGATAGTAAGCTGTAAGACACTGGAGACCAGGGAATGGATTTGTCTGCTAGACACTGCCTTATTAAATTCATTACCGGGAAGAAGAAACTTTGATTACATGATGCATCAGGAAGAAAAAGGTCTCCTCTTCCCCTTTTTGCTTGTCTGGCTGTGGTACAGTTGCTGTTGGGGGAAGCTCAGAACCTGCTAATTACATGCCGCATTCTCTTTTTCTTTTGTAGGGCACTCTGCGTGTGTTGCTGGTCTTATTGCATGATTTCCCAGAATTCCTTTGTGACTACCACTATGGGTTCTGTGATGTGATCCCACCAAACTGTATCCAACTAAGGAATCTGATCCTGAGTGCCTTCCCACGTAACATGAGGCTTCCAGACCCTTTCACTCCCAACCTAAAAGTAGGTAGCATGCCCTGTCAAACTATCACACACGGAAACAATGGGAAACTTGATTGCATGGGTTCTTTTAAATACAATATGAAAGGGCATGAAACTTCAGAAACAAAGTCTTATTTTGATAAACACAACAACCTAGAAGTTCCTAAAGTATTTAACACTTTGGATATGCAATTCCTCATTGGAATTAATTAAATAGCCTGTTATAATTATAACTTGGTATAAAAGCGTTTAATTGATATTGCTGTAGCACTCAATGTGCTAGAGACTTTCCAAAGAGAGAGACTCAGTCCTCATCCTGTAGAACATAAAAGTCCAAGTCCCTAGCCCTGCAGTCTGATCCACATGGACAGACATTTGCACCTGTGGCGCTTCACTGATGCCAGTGGATCTTTGCATGGCTGCAGGGGTCTGCCTGTACGGATCCAATTGCTGGATCAGGTCCTTTGGCTTTCTGAGCTCCGCTGAGGAGCATTAAATAGGAAATCCGGTTTCTCACAGTAAAATACCATAAGGGTTTTGGGTATGAAAATCTGAAGCAAATAGAGGCTTTCTTGATCATGCTTGACTACTAAACACTGGAGCAAAGATGTTGAGGCCACACTTAAGATCAGTGGAGGTATGATCCTGGGATTAGTGCTCCTTTCTCTAGCATTCCAGGTGTGTGTGCTACACTAGTTTACCTCCTGTTCACTTATGTGTGAAACCACTGACTACTTTGGAAGTCTTCCATGTTGGTTCAGTATGCTCCATTTTTCTTGAAGGAAGAAAGTCCGTTAAACAGAGCTCAACTGACAACTTGCACTTCATTTCTTGCTCTGGTTTCTAGAAGTTGGAGGTGTACGGTAGATTTCATCCACCCTGGTGTATGCTTGGCTGGAATCCAGTTGAGCAACCAGTGAGAAGAGCAGTTGTCCTCTCTACTGGATCAAAAAAATGAAGTGCTCTCTGCATGGTGCACTTATGACTCTCTGCTCAGAATACACATTAGTTACTTCCTGTCTCCAGTTAGAATTTTTTTTAGATCAGCCATTCTGAAGTGTCAGTAAATTTTAATAGAATTACTGCTTTGACCTATTTAAATCCTGAAGACCATAGTCTTCTAATCCACATAATGGGTACAGCTGCAGCAGTGTGAGCTTCCCCACAAGCCCCAACATGTCATCCCTTACGGCATGAACCACCTCTAGAAGTGGCAGGAGTGATGATTTTTAATGGCCCACTTTGTTTTAGTCTTCCTTGCTGGGGCTGGAGAAAAGAGAACCGAATGTGGGTGGCAGTTTTTTGATGTGGACTCATTCTCTGGGAGCTAGAATAAGACTTCCAATTCCACTTCACACAGATATCAGTCACTATCTTTGAATGCTACCAATCTGGGCTGATTTCAAACAGTTGATTTAGAGAGGTCAGGCTGTGTGTGTATCCCATTACCAGTCTGTGACTTATCTAGTTTTCAGCAATTTATAAGTGACATCAGATTAAGAAACCAGCTATTTTGAAGTCTGAAAACAAAGATCAAGAGCTCCAGCAGTACACCAGGGGAATTGAATTTCATGTTTATACCTTCTGGTATAAAAATGTATAGATAAGAGTGGCTGGTATGATGAACTCAAACTTCCTTTCCTTAGGAAGTCTTACAACCATAATTTTGGTTTTAAATAGCAGGAATTAGTTAAAGGATTACTAATGGAGTTTTTCTTTGGCAGGTGGACATGTTAAGTGAGATTAATATTGCACCACGAATACTCACCAACTTTACTGGAGTGATGCCACCTCAGTTCAAAAAAGATTTGGATTCCTATCTCAAAACTCGCTCGCCTGTCACTTTCCTGTCTGACTTGCGCAGCAATCTACAGGTTAGTGGATCCATCCCTGAAAACGTTTTTAGAGTCGGAGGCTGAAAACCATGTAGGAAGTGAGTTAATGTGACTCAACAGGTATAAAATACTGTGATGTACTGTTTGGCAGATGTGACGGGGATACGAGCCTCCAAAAATGTTCTTTCCTGCTAGATACTCAGTGCGTTTCCCAATGCACTACAAATAGAAATCTTGGATAATTTAGTATCACCAAAGATGATGTGGTGTTTTGACAGCAGGAGTGTTAACTGCAGTGATTCTCAAGCAATGTAGCTTTGAGAAGAGTCCATTTTAGTCCTGTAGAAAAGTAGGACTTCACTTGCCATTCAGGGTACCATAAACTCCTCCTCCTGAAACTGCTTCGGTGCATAAATTGGCAAAAATTCCCCAAACAGTGTGTTCTGATGGTTTTCTTCTGCAGTGAGAGCCCCTGGTACCAGCTGGCTTAGGAGGTGTCCACGGCTGTCTTTTCAGCAGTTCTCAAATCAGCTTAGCGCTTTTAACCTGGACATCCTGTTCATTGCTTTCCATGTCAGTTAAGTATAGGGTGAGGGATAGCTCAGTGGTTTGAGCATTGGCCTGCTAAACCCAAGGTTGTGAGTTCAATCCTTGAGGGGGCTATTTAGGGATCAGGGGTAAAAATGTGTCTGGGGATTGGCCCTGCTTTGAGCAGGGGGTTGGACTAGATGACCTCCTGAGGTCCCTTCCAATCCTGATATTCTGTGATCTTTGAGACTCTCACCAGACTTTATTGAATTCACCTCAACTAATCAGTTTCTAAAACCGATTAAACAAGCTCAAGTCAGAATTTGCTTTTGAGTCACTTGTTAATGGAAATTTCTTTTTATTTGTGTAATTATACATTCAGATTGGTACATGGGTTCATGCAATTTCAAATGTTACATGTAGACACAAACACTTCTGAAAAGGAGGCCATGGAAGCTAAAGCCCACTTCAGTGTATGTTAAATGTGAATTCAGTAACTGCAAAGCTTGACTTGCAACAGAGTTGGGTACTAAAAGTTGGATATTAAGACCTAGTTTAGGCTCTAATTTAATAGAGGGTCTGTCTCGGGTCTGTGTCTCTCTTTAGTGTAGAGGTATTGGCAAGCACTATCTACAAAGTAAGAAACCCAAATTTCAGACTTTAGATTTCTAATTAGACATTGCTTTCTGCATAAAGCAGATATTTGAATGCTGAAAATCTCTCCAAATCATTCCCTTCACACAGTCCCTAAGAACTCTGAAGGATTGTAAAAAGCTAACCTTTCTCTTGTGCTGTGCCCCCCAGGTATCCAATGAACCTGGCAATCGCTACAACATCCAGCTGATTAACGCACTGGTGCTCTACGTAGGCACTCAGGCTATTGCACATATTCACAACAAAGGCAGCACACCCTCGATGAGCACGATCACCCATTCAGCTCACATGGACATTTTCCAGAACTTGGCTGTGGATCTGGACACAGAAGGTAAGCAGAACTTCTCTGGATCACTTGTTTGCTTCTAGCCTGAAATGGTTCTTGAAACTTTCTTAGTTAAGAGAGCAGATTAGCTCTGGGTACTATGGCAAAAACTGAAATACCACTTAACTGCTAGTGGTTTTGTATTGAGCAACACTGCATTACAATAGAGTTCTGAATACACTAAAAATATTTTATTGGAACTAAACTTATCTGAAACACATTGACTATTCGCGAAGTATAAAATTAATTTTGGCGTGAACTAGGTTTTGACTCTTAGAGAAATATTGATTCTCTCCTCTACTGGAGACTAATTTAATGTGCTGAGATCAGCTAGTCACCCTCCCACCCCCTTTATGCAGTATAATCCTTAAGTGCAATGAGCTTTGCTTCAGGATAGAGACAAGCGTCATGTTCTCTAGAGTCTGGAGTAATCGACACTAAAACTGGTATCTCTGTCCTGGGAGGATTTAATAAATAGCATCCATCCAAGATAAGTAGTAGAGGGTAAGATTGCAAAAGAGTTAGTTACACCTGCTTGGCTTGTGAAATATAAGAAGTGTTATAACCGGATAATACTTGGCATGTAACACTTCACTTTGAAACTTTCATCTTCCAAAGTGTGTTATGAATATTAATTAATGTATTAGAAGAGTCTAAATTTGGTGTAGGAATGTTGCTTTGTCTGAGAATTTTGAATCCATACAATGAAAGAATCTTGTTCAGCCCTCCTGGGACAGCTGCAAACCTGAGGGGGTGTACTGCTTTGCAACAAATGTCATGGAAGAGGAAGCCCTAATTTTTGGTACAAGAACTCCAGCTGGGATCAATGTTGTGAAGCACCCTAATATTTTTTTTAGCTTTTTACTGAAGTTTCTTTAAACTGTGTAGTGCAGAACCATACATCTGAATCCTTAAGCAGTGCTAGGGTGCTTCCTTGTTCCACTACGTTGTGTAAGGGAAACTAATTACTTCCTATTAAACACCTACTTTCTCTTTCCAGGTCGGTACCTCTTCTTGAATGCAATTGCCAATCAGCTGCGGTACCCAAACAGCCATACACACTATTTCAGTTGTACCATGCTTTACCTATTTGCAGAGGCCAATACTGAGGCTATCCAGGAACAGATCACGAGGTGAGGAGGGGCAGTTACATTCACAACCTTTATAGTTCAACTTTTCACTTTGCTTGAAATTAAATGACTGGGAGGCAGGTGTTATGCTGAGTTGTATAATGTTACTGTCTAGTGCTATAGAACAAGAACACCTAGTGCAATTTGATGCTGCTTACAAGAGCAAATGTGTTCTCTTCACTGTGCTGTGTTGTAAATATCAGTGTCTTCTAGGAGATCTGTGTTGAGCCTTCCCTGTTTTTTGTTTTTTTTTCTTCAGGGTACTGTTGGAACGACTGATTGTAAATAGACCTCACCCATGGGGTCTCCTCATTACCTTCATTGAGCTGATAAAAAATCCAGCGTTTAAATTCTGGAACCATGAGTTTGTTCACTGTGCTCCGGAAATTGAGAAGTGAGTAGATAACTTGGTTTTGTATGGTTTAATTAGAAACTCGTGCTCACTTTGGTTTATTCAGTCACATAATGGAAATATTAGTGGTGATATTCCATTTCATACTAAGCTGACACAGCCCCATTGGAAAAAATAGGTGACAATAAATATTACTACTTTGGCCGTGTAAAATGCTTTACATGGATAGATATCTAAGTGCATCCATGAAGCAGGTGAAATAATTGCATTTTACAGATTATGGGGAATGAAGCACAATGTCGGAATATGCTGGCAGAAGTGAGCCTAGAACTTGTCCTACTCCTAGGACAGTTTACTGTCCACTTGACTGGTGCCTCTGTTTACATGTTTGATTGCATAACTTCATGATATCAAATTACATGGGAACATGCTATTTCCTAAATCTCTGATAAATGCTGTGTTCAGTAGTGGAGGGGGCTTTCTTTCTGAAATCTCAAATCAATGTATTCCTGTCTGAAAGCGCTATAACTCAAACTGGGAAAAGGACTATCCACTATGCCACAGCTTCCATGACTGCTACTTTAGAATAGCATCTCAAAATCCAGCTCGTTGCTAGGTGGATTGTGAGCTCTTGCAGTCCTATGTTTATAGGAAATCCCAGTGTTGAAGGTGTCTCAAAATGAAGATTTTTTACTGAACTATATAGCTCTGTCCCTCAACTTTTTTGCTCTTCTGTCCATGTTTAGGTTGTTTCAGTCAGTTGCACAGTGCTGCATGGGGCAGAAGCAGGCACAGCAAGTGATGGAAGGCACTGGTGCCAGTTAGATGAACTGCATCTTGTATTGTAAGCGTGCCAGCCTGGAGGTCCCCTTCCCATCAAACTGACAGAAGAATCCTTAAAGCTCTTCCTGACCTTCCCAGCCCCTCGATTTGGGTACACACAACAAGCCTTTGGGTGAAAGTCTGTGTGGGCATGTTCCAAAGTTTAAAGCAAAATTTTGACTCTTGGCCAAAATTTAGAAGATGCTGTGAATATCATTTTGAACTAGTGTAAATACATGGAACCGAAACGTTTGTCTGGACTTCTTGGGTTTGTGCAAATTGTGTTAAAGGCAGGTGGATAACTGGTGCCTGTCCAGCTTGTAATAAAGGGGCAGCTGCTGATGCCAAGCACTTGTCTAGGGCAGACCTCCTTGTCCTGACATTCCCGGACTCCCAAAGAATATTGAAAAGCCAGTTTTAAATATTATGTAACTTATTTTTTTTCTTTGTGGATGGGGGACCTTTAAATCACTAAGTTGTTTAAAAAAAAAAAAGTGGATGTGTTGGGATATGGGAATACTATGGAATGTGGGAGGGAGGGGTTGGGATTAAGGTCTAGTGTTGCTTCTCCCTCCTGCCCCCCAATCAACTGCTGACAGTGGGGGGAGGTAGCCTTCAGAGCCCGCCTCCTTTCTGTTGGATAAGATAAACTTCAGGCCCTTCGGGAGAGGGTCAGCTGTTTTTAGTAGAGAGACCTGGCCTATAGCTTTTTTTCTTTTTTTCCTGACACTTGTAAATTTTGGAAGGGGGGAGCTAAATCTAGAACTGTCCCCCTGTGGCCACACAGCATAAGTTTGTAAAAAGAACAAAGGACCAATACAGCCCATTTTGTAAGGATTTTGAATGTTTTGTAAATGTATTGGTCCATGTGTTGTATTTTGTAGCCTTTCTAGTTCTTGGGCTTTAGTTCTCCCACTTCTTGTATGTATGCATACTGTAGTTACACATTAAAGTCATGACATGCAGCAAGTGCAGCTCTGCTTATTCTCGGCAGTACCATTACACTGGGTTTTCAGAGTTCTATCGTACAATACTACCTGGGCCAGGCCCATTAGACACGTTTTGAACTTGAGCTCATGCTGAGAAAATTCAAGTAAACGTCATGTTTGGAACTCCAATCTCAAGGTAGAGGATGGTAGTGTAACACTAGGGAGGCTCTTTAGGTTAATCACAAATTCACATGCACAAATGATGCCATTAGCAGGTTGTCAAATCATCTGAACATGAGCTTTGGCTATTTTCCTGGCTAGATTAGCCTCTGAGGGAGAGGCTGTGTTAATATAGCATTATGGGAGAAGAGAGAAAGTGGATAAAGCAGTAAATTGTAGCTCAGTTGTCTTAATTCTTGGTGGTCAGATGCATATAATTCCTGCATAAATCTCCTCGAAGGAATCTGATCTTATTAATGTGTAGCTGACTTTTAATTACTGACACTTAATAGGTTGGCTTTCATCCATCAAGGTTCAGTTTGACAACTTCATGGCTCCAGATGCAGGGCCTGCATGCTTCAAAGGCAAATAATCTCAAATCCTAAAAGGTGCTAAGACTTAAAAGGGCTTTCCCCCTTTTATCTATCTTTATATATAAGGGAGAAAGCTCATGAAAGTTGCATGTTTGCTTGTCTCGTAGCAAAATTTACCTGCAAAGGTAAGATGCCCATTTATTCCTTAAATTATGAAGGACTGGACATGAACAGCAGCACCAGCCCTTCAAATGAATATTGATAAAGCTCTGGCCATTTCCCTGTTCTGAAAGGACCTTCATGTAAAAAATGCCCACTTACCTTTAAAAAAACCTCCACTCAATAGCCTGCAAACAAGTACATGTTCACCTCAATGTTGTCTCCCTTGGCAACACACAGAAATAGAGCCAAGGATCCAACCATGGTGAACTCTGGCACCCAAACTGCCTCTGAACAGTGTTTTGAACAGCACCTCTCTACAATACTTCAAAGGCAGTTGGACAAAACCTAAGCAGTTCAGGCAGGCAGGCAGCCAGCCACTTGCACTGAACTCCAGCTGAATGTGATGAGGCCTTGCTCGTTAGTAGCAGGGATCCTAGTTTATGAAGAAAATCCCTTTTTCCATGATTAAAATGAAACCTGACAGCAGCTACCCTCCCACATTCTGTGTTCCCCATGGTAAATGAATTTCTAGGATACCTGGTTATTAGTTGCAGATACCAACAAAAAGCCTGGGTTCCCTTTTTCTTTCCTAGCTTGGTCTGCAGTAGGGTTTTGGATACCAGCAGCTATGCTGCTGGTATCAACTAACTTAGGGGCTGCTACAGCTGAACTGCATAACTATCAAGAACTGAACTAAATAGTCACTGAAGGGACAGGCCAGATGCCCTTCAGCAAAACGAATAGCAGCTGTTCTAGCCCGTATGGTTTCTCTCAAGCAATGCTTCAAAAGGCTGGCGGCTTTAAGCAATTTTGTAGGAACAGGCTCCAAGCCGAATGAGGGAGAGGGTCATAGCCCGCACCCCCAACTTCACTGTACCCAGGCAAAAGGCTGGCTTCCCTCTACTAGGCACATGTATTCAGGTCCTGCCATGCAGTGAATTCTAGCTCTGGGTGAAGGAAGCAGGCCACCTGTGGCTAGAGGCAGGCCAATGCAACCATGGCTTAAGACCAGCACCACAAGCTACCTGCTAGCCAGTAGCTGAGGTCAAAAGCAACAGTGTGCACACACCCTCTGGCCAATCTTATAGGAGTATTTCGGATCACTGAAGGTGAAAAAAGCTCACTGCCCCAAATCATCAACTGCTGCAACGCTTTCAATTGGTGGGAGAAATGCAAACCTCTCCTCCATCCCCTGCCTACTACTGCAGGGGTGAATAAGGGGGAATCAAGGACCCCGCTGGCAACTGGACAAGTACAAGTGATTGACTAAAACAGGTCAGCAACCTCTGGCACACTGGGCCAGTTAGTTCGTTTACCTGCTGTTTGCAGGTTTGGTTGATCACAACTCCCAGGGGCTGTGCTTTGCTGATCCCGGCCAATGGGGATGGCACAAAGCAGCACAGGCCAAGGGAGGTGCTGGCTGCCCTTCCCGCAGCCCCCATTGGCCTGGAGTGGTGAACTGCGGCCAGTGGGAGCCACGATCAGCTAAACCTGCAGATGCGGCAGGTAAACAAACTAGCCTGGCCCGCTAAGGTGCTTACCTGGGTGAGCTGCGTGCTAGAGGTTGCCGATCCCTGGACTAAAAGGAAACGAGAAATACCCACTGAAAAGAAGACTGGAGAAGATGCATGCAAAAGCTTTGGTAAGTAAATATCACTGCAACTGATCTCTTCCCTGTGCCACTTCCATCATACCTTTATTTTAGCAAGCAGCAAACTACAATTCCCCTCAGCCTGCAACACCAACAGAGCAGAAGCTACGGAACAGGGACTAGAGTCCAGCTCAAACTGGTGTACAAATTCCTTTATGAAAGCAAAGGGCATCATTGGGCCTGCACAGCCTTTAGCATTAATAGGCAAGGGAAAAAATCCATTTCACTAAGGAATCAGAGCCCTTTTAACTTAAGAAAACCCCATTGACAAAGAGCTGCACCATTTTTAGTCATTCAGAGAAAAAGATGTGGCCTAGTTATTTGCATTCCTAGAGATGTGCCTACCTTAACCTAGGGAATCCCACACTGTCTCTTCCTGAACAGGCTGTAGAATTGTAGGACCTTAAGATTCTGGCAGTGACCATCCAGCCTCTAGAAAGTGGAGCAATTGCTAAAGACAACTTGTGTTGTCAAGCCTCCCTTACCTACTGCATGGCAGAAATGGCACTGCACCAATCACTGATCTGCCTTCCTCCTTAGACGGTCAGCAGAGAGCAGCTAAGCAAAATAGCCACCACCAACCCAGAGGAATTCTTGCCATCTCAAAAGCGGGTAAAAACATCCTGTCACGTACTGGCCAGAAAAGTGCATAACACTAAGAGTGCTAAAAGCCCCCAAACACCTCAGACTTTACCTACAGCAAAATTGAATAACAGTATGATACTAGCTGATAGCTCTGTCTCAGGGCATGTTGCTTGACCATATGCAGAATGAAGTCTAAGGGAGAGAATTGAGCCAACTGTAGCAGATCTAGGGTTCTGAAATGTACTACCTTTAGTCTGACGCTTGGGAAAAATCTGCAGCCCTACTCAGGCTTTGAACAAGTTACTAGCAGGACAGGGCTGCAGGCACAGTTGCTTACAGAGTTTGAAGGCAGTAAGCAGATGTTCTACTAATGGAAAACTCCCTGGTGACTAGAGTGAGCATTTTCTTAGATGCTTGTAACAGTGAATGAGAACCACTTCAAGATGTCATCCTTGCAAGTATAAAATCAGTGTTCTATGACAATTAGTGGCTATGGGGTGGGCTACTGCCTCAATCAAAGTTAGCATGGCGAGACTGGGTTCTTGAACACTGGGAACCCTCCTGCATGTCACACTTAAGGCTGAAATTTAAGGAACAGACTTTTCCCTCCCCAGTAAGACAGGTATGTAATTTATAGAAAAGTCAAGAGGTAGATGAAAAGCCAATACAGAAATAACTGGGTCCAAATCACCTCTCACCCACTGTTCTTCCTGAATACAAGTGGCCACCCCATCCATCCCACCAGTGGGGGAGAGAGTGCAAGGTGTGCTTTATACAAGGGCTGCAATTCCCAGTTCAGCCTCTGCTAGCTTGTCAGCTCCAGCAATTGGTGCAAGATCCTCTTCTGCCCAAAGCGCACTTGCAAGGCTTGCTGCTCTCTCGGGCTTAGTTTGCCATAAGCCACCTTGTCATTGAGCAAGTCCTGCTCTGCTTTCAGGTCTGAGCTGTAAGACTCCAGCGTCAGCAGCGCACTGTCATGGAGAAGCTTCTTCCATGAGGCTTTGAGTCTGGGTATTGTCTCGTTAGACAAAGTAAAGCTCTCTTCATCCTCTGTGTCTTCTTCCCAGCCCTCGTGCTCTTTAAACTCTTTGAATTCTTCTGCAGCCATACACAGCACCTACAACCAACCACACGGATACCTAGTCATTATCACAGGCAGTGACGCAGGACTAAGGTTGAGTAGAATCAAGGTCCCAATTTTCAGCTACTGAACAGTAGTTTGGGGGGGGGGGGGAAGTCTCTAGCGCAACACAATCCTCCTGGACTCCCACGGATCTGCAGTGGGAATGGGCACCAAGGAGCTAGTGAATAACCCAGCCGCAGGCTATCAAATCAGCTAGTTGGTTTAGTGCAGGGCGTTTGGCCAAGACACAAATGCTGAGCATGCTTTCTGCAGTACAGGATCTGATCTTCAGGGGCCTTAATTTCCCAGTAGTACTTAGTTTTATTGCAACACTGTCATAGTCCTGAGGGGGGAAGGCTGGTGTGTTTCTTAAAATTCCCTGTGCCTGGACCTTTAACATGAAAACAGATTCTCATCTGATAAGAGATTAAATGTTAGTAACTGTACGGTGAAAGCTTTAAAAAAGCAAGCAAATAAAACAGCTCAACATTTAAGATCCTGATTTTCAGGGGTCTGCTTCCTAGTTTCAGTGCTGGTAGTGCACAGCTGGGGAGTGAAGGGGCCTTTTGGCAGAGTGTTAAATACTTCCCCCTTCCCAGCTAGCTGCAGGAGGGCTGCCACAAGCATAGACCCTCCAATACAGTAACTCCTCACTTAACATTGTAGTTCTGTTCCTGAAAAATGCAACTTTAAGCAAAACAATGTTAAGTGAATCCAATTTCCCCATAAGAATTAATGTAAATGGGGGGGGGGGAAGAGAAAGGGGGTTTAGGTTCCAGGGAAATTTTTTTCACCAGCCAAAAAACAATATATAGATATACACACTATATGTTTAAAACGTAAACAATTTAATACTGTTCCCAGCTATGATTGTGAAGCTTGGTTGAGGTGGTGAAGTTAGAGGGTGGGATATTTCCCAGGGAATGCCTTGCTGCTAAATCAGTGGTTCTCAAACTTTTGTACTGACGACCCCTTTCACATA